TGTGTGTGTGTTTGTGTGCGTACTTGTGTTTGTGTGTGTGAATGTGTGTGTGCATGTGTTTGTGTGTGTTTATGTGTGTGTGTGAGAGTGTGCATGTGTGTATGTATGTATGTATGTGTGTGTTTATGTTTGTGTCTGCATTTGTGTGTGTGTGTTTCTGTGTCTGTGTGTGTGTCTGCGTGTGTGTCTGTGCGTGTGTGCGCGCGTGTGTGTACAGTGTGAGTGAGGGGGTGAGGGGGGTTGTGTTGCTGCTGTGGTGCCGAAAGTCTCAGTCAAGCTCAGCTCAGTAACCACCAATCTGTCCCCGTGGTTTTATGCACCCCACATAATTTAGCAAAATTGTGTTATTTTTTTCATAATTTCTGATTATTTTCCTTCGTCGTTCTTTGTTAAAATTAAGAGAGTCGCATAAGTTCACATTTTTGAGCTCAGTTTGCATAATTTCATAGTTTTTTTGGCATAAAACCACAGAGACAGCCACCAATCAACAGCTGCTCCACGGGACAGTTCAAGAAACTCGTATGTCACATTTTTGTAAAAGATACTTTTTTTTCGCTTTTCGGAGTGGCGTCGGTTGCCGACTTGTAGTCGTGAGAATGAGGGTTTTGGGGTTTGAACCTCAGCTCAGTCAAAGATCGTACATAACAAGATAGTTCACTCCTCTCTTTGAGCCAATGACAAAAGTGTGCTAAAAATCCGGTGGCGCTCTCTTCGAAAAAGCGCGGACTTTGCGAACACAGTCCTACTTGGTGTGAGAAACAGTAAAAGCGAAATTAACAAGCTATGCTGTCCCTATTCTGCTTCTAGAGAAATGAAAGGGAGCTTCAAATCAAAGACTGCAGCGCCATCTGAAGTAATGCGCGGACTTCCGCGGACACTTTTTTGGCCGAGTAAATAACATTTCATGGCCACATGTCTCTTCGATATGAGGATCGAACTATAAATAAGTTATTGAAGTCATTTACAGCCCGACCGTAACATCGAAAAGATTGGTGACGGAGAGAGATCTGTGGCCCCGGAAAATCTTTTTTTTTTTAAAGTAGAATTTAGACAAATGTGGTATACGGCCGGGTTTCTGAACCATCGAGCGGTCTTCTCCTACCAAGGGGCAACAACTATAATAATAATTTAACCAAAGAGTCATGAAGTGAACAAAAACTCGCACGGGTCATTTCTCTCCTATCCTGAGCGCAACCCCCACTGCCTTTTAAACATTCACTCGCCAAATTTAACATTAAACCAAATCAGTATGTTAAGAATATTTGAAAAGGCAGCCTATTCCCTCGCACACTTTAAGGGCCTTGACAGACGAGATGAAAATAAAAACATCGCAGCTGTGGTCTCAGCGCAATCTGGTGATACAGGGGTGCCCACTACGGCTGGGATCAGCCCGGTCACTCTCCCGAATCGATCGCCTCAAAACCGTTTGGGCTGCCCACTATGGCTGGATCGGGCCGATCGCCTGAAACTGAAAACAAACACGTTTGTTTTTTAAGCGATCGAATCGGGCGATTGGCCCGATCGGCCAATTCCGGCGTAGTGGGCACCCCAGTTGAAAGATTTTGGAAATAAAGAGCAGAAACATCATTTGGGACAACTGAAGTGAGGAATATTTTTAAAAAATGAAAAAAAAAAATGACGTCAATTCTTCAACTGTGGTTTTGGGCAAACGAAAGTAATTGAAAAATCTGGACTCATCTTCTTGAAGTTCTTAAAAAAAGGTGTAAAACTGTCGTCTTAGTAATCTGAGAGAAACAATGGGATAAAACAAAATCTTTGTCGCTTTCTTTTTTTAAAAAGATTCTTCTCATCACTATGACCAAAACCACCCTGACTCTCCGATCGTCCATGTTGAACTGAACAGTAGCGTTAAAAATCACCTCGTGTGGCTGAAACACAAAATTTAAAGTAAGGGACACTTTCTGCGCGACAATATGTGTCGCGACGTTATGGAATAAGGTGCTTGTCAAAATAATGAAATAGAAGAAAACAACATTTTTCTCCCCATTCGGCAATTTTTATGGAATTTTTATTTTTTGACTCACCGCCTTTAATGGCCATTTAAAAAACTCACTGCTGTGTGGATTTTTACCGAACATGAAAACGTAAATTTACAGTTTCTCATGACTCTCAAGCTTTGCAAGTCGCCTAACTTTGGCGGCAATTTTCTCTCTAATTTTAATTTTGAAACCAAGTGACCTCACCTGTTTCAATTCAACATATTTTGACTTCTGTTGAAGATACATGGGTAATTTTTTCACCGAAAGCAAGACAAAGGAACAAGATTTAAGATGATACCAATAACTCCATAATATGCCACAAAATTGACGAGCGCCTGATTCCACCGCGTCATGACACATATATGAAGAGTGCTGACAAAATGAGTTACTTGTCGGATTCGAGATCTATGGAAATAGATACGCCACGTTTATAGGTGAAGTTTTTACAATATTTATAAGTATGAAATAATAAAAGGCTTAGATCTGTTTTACTTTTTTTAAATATGGCATCGATAAAAAAAATCTACAAATTTGTTCATGGTGTCGATTTTGGGCCCATATTTAAATGTGTGGATTGTGAGAAAAAACTCATTTTGTCAGCACGCTTCACATTATATTATATTGTAGCTCGTCTGTCAAGGCCCTAAGCAGTACACATTCTTTCCCTCACGGTCTGCTGATTCTCCCAGTGCGCGGTCTACAGCAGAGCTCTGTCTGTGGCGGCTTTTATGGACAGGCCGGGCTCACTGTAGCGGAACCAGGAATCCTAGGATTGGCATCTTGTAAGCGAAGACACAACAGATAACGATTGTTGGATTTTGGGTGGGTGGGGAAACAAAGAGAAAAGGGAGAAAGG